CCCCAAAACCCCAAAACCCCAAAACCCCAAAACCCCAAAACCCCTTAACAATATTTTAGTGTTGAAATTTTAGATGTCATCACTGTAGGTTGTTATTATAACACTCAAGTAAAACTTTTAGAACAAGAGAAATCGGCTCTAAAAGTTCATGTAGTCTATTTCTCTTCAATTGAATGAACAGGTGTTAGAGCTAGAATCTTATAATAATTATCTTAATTATCAGAAGAAATCATGACTAATGATGCCATTACCACCTCCATCTATATAATGTAAGAGGAACTAAATGGCACTCTAAGAAGACTTTAATTAAGTAACATGGTTGTGGGATAGCAGTTATAGCAAACTAGTGTTCGTTATTTTCTTTGTAGTCGATATATTTTACTTTGAAGAAAAGTTTAACCAAAAATCGGAAAAAGTATACTAGCCACCAGAGAATTAATAAGCCGTTTAGGTATCTATGAGATAAATTTATAGCCTAATCGTTGGTGAAATTACAAGTTTGTTTGATGTCTCTAAAAGTTATTTCCGGCAAAAAAGAGTCGATTATTAGCTAATATCCCAATAAGTACTATTGTAAATCATCTTGGTAAGCCTATTCTGGAGTGGCTTGGGACATAAAGAACATCAGAATTGATTTGATCGAGGATCTGAGCCTCTTATTTAGCATACTTATGCAAGAGCCCCATAATGATTACCAGTTTTGATTAGTCTGAAAAAATTGTTTGCTATAAAATAATGAAGTTATTTGCTTACTTTGAACCCAAGGAATATGGAAAATAATAGGGCTAGTTATTTTGACTGTTATCGCAGGCTCCTACTCAAGTCCCTCTTTCAGAAAATCTCAATAAAAACCTTTGGTTGCATTTTTCTAGAGCCATAAAGAAGAATTTTAAATAACTACAATATTTCCCAATAAGCTTAAGCTAAAAAGATGCTTCATCATAAAAAGAACAAGAGATCCCTCAGTTGACATCTGACAAATAATTTCTCCTTGCTAGCAGCTGAGTTTGAACATCTTCATAATTCAAAGTAAGGCTTTGAAAGTCTATATAAAGATAAGAAAGTAAGAATTTAATAATAATTTAAGTATGAAATCCCAAAAACAACCAATGTATATCTCAGAGAATTCCACTCTAACGAGCAACTTTAAAGGCGTAATAGAGCAGTTAGAGAAGACTTATTGAGTCTGTCCTTTAATCCACAACTCTGATAGAAGGGCTATAAAATATTGACCACACGAAGATCAAAGTTCCTCGCTGCCTTCACCCAGCTTGAAGAACTTTTACAACTTAGGGTAAGAATTTAATAAGACTTAAAGAGAGTGTCTAAAACTTTAAATTTCTGGTTCGAAGGAATGTTTAATAAAATTATAGCGAAGAGAATCTAAGAAAAAGAGACTTAAGGCTTCCTGCTAAGTATGATATAAATTCACCTGAAAAAGAAACAAAAATAGTTTTAATACATCTTGATAAAATCTATTCTTTATCTGAAAAGAATGAAGATGATTTAGCTGAAGTTAAAGTCGTTAAGCAAAGGAGAAATCGTTCATGGAGGCTTGATATTACAGATAGGCTTCCTATAATTCGCAATATTATTCTCAATAACCCTCTTGGTTCATTCAAACGAGCAATTAAAAAGACGAGGTATACTAAAGACAAGTACCTTGGAAGGAGGTCCAAATACATTGGAATTACTAAAAACAACATTCATTGGCAAGCCTTGATCAATGTGAATCATGAGAAGAAGTACATAGGCACTTTTATAGATGAAATAGAAGCAGCAAAGACTTACGACTTGCATGCAATAGCAATGCAGGGGAAAAGAGCACGCTTGAACTTTAGCTACACACCTGAAGAAATTGTGAGCATTATTGATCACTATCTTATTCACAGACGTATAAACCTCCATGAGAACCTCTAATAACATTTACTATTGACTAATAGAACTCTATTTATATCTTTCTTGGCTTAAAACTCCGACTAACAAACTGAGGCTTCCATATTGATTAGTTTCATCGATGATATTACCCTCAGGGGTTTTGGGGTTTTGGGGTTTTGGGGTTTTGGGGTTTTGGGG